CATTTATTTTCATATTCGTATATCAGCCAACATAAACCAACATACAGATACGTCTGTAACAGGCTCATATTGATAAATAATCAGCAAACTGCTCTAAATAAAATGTAAGTGACAAACAACTTTAAAAGGTGGACAGTAAAAGAGACTAAAGCTCAGATAAACTGATGATGACTTACTGCTTTGGCAAAGACACCCATGAGCTCAGGGAACTGATGTGTGAGCATGGCCAGTATGGCAGTGAAGGAGCAAAGGCCTGCTGTGAAGAGGATGAAGAAGGGAAGCTCTTTTTTTGGGTACACAGACACCTCGTGAAAAGCTACAGTGAAGATGAGAGAGAAGGAGAGAGCAAGATGAAGTCAGATAAAGATAAACAGGGTTTAAATAGTGAGAGGATTATCATTCAAATGATCAGTTATTGGAGGTAGGTAAGTTAAGACCGTCTTATTTACAGGGCAATAGTTCCCTATCTGCTGTTTCTGTGCATCCTGGGTAAGGGTAAAACAGGTGACCCTTCTCCAGCGGGTAAGGAATTATCCGGAAGGCTGGAAAGACAGATAAAGGAGCAAATAGAAAGCTGCATTACGTTTTAAATCATTACCAACAACATAACTGGTAAGAGTTGATCAGAGTGTATAGATACTAACACTATACAGAGGGATAAATTATCACATTCTTCCAGTGACGAATAGGCTCATTCCTGTAAAATGAGTATTTGTGGGTGTGTTGTGGAAACAAAACCGATGACACAATAATTTAAAAATGAGGAGCAGCTTGCAAGAAGATAGTTAGATTAATGTACCACACAACAGTGACTTCTGAATTTACACAGAGGTTGTAAATTCACTTCAAAAGATCTCAAGGAAAAAAATGCCTAAGCAGAAATATTATATTGCTGACAAATTAATAAAGTGTAAATTCCTCCAAGTAAGTGATGTGCAATAAAGGAAATAGAAGTAACACATACTGCCCTCCCAGGTGCAGTGTAGTAGGTTTAAAGCTCCCTCTGCCCTCTTCCAGTGCTGCAGATGAAAGAAAGCGTATGCCACTGCCTCGCTGTCACCTCTCTTCAAGATGTGCTCTGGAGGCAGGATCAGACTCTTCATCTCTAATAAGTACTGAAGAAAGAAAGGAGAGGAAACACTTTTCTTCAGTATATATTCAGTATGGATGTCATCTGATAAAAGAGTACTTTAAAAACAGAGTGCCAATGTATGTTTTAACTCTGCTTTCACAATTCAGCTCAGCCACAGAAACCGCTTTTCTGTCCATGTAATTCTATTTGGTTGAATCCCAACGCTGCAGAATACGTAAACATCGTGAGTCACATTGACTTCATTACATTTCCACTATGAGATAATGGCAATTGAATAAAAAACTGTTGGTGAAATATTAGATGTGACTATAGACTGTAAATAAAGACACTTCCTCACGTTGAAGTAACTTGGAGCCAGAGTCTGTGCAGTTCTGATCCTAATGTGGAGCAATGGTCTCTTTGATAAATGCTCTCTAATTCGCAGCTGTCAATCATGATGTTTCACCCTGTTTCTATTAGATCAAATAGTGAATTAAAACCAAACTTAGACTTGGACATATATACCTCAGTGAGATAAGAACCTAAAAAGACAGGCAAAAACGTATTTAACATGTACTTTGAGTTTGTTTTTGTAAATTTCCAATCTGCTAACATGGAGGAGGCAAGGTGTATAACTTATACTAAGGCCAGCCACCAGGGGGCAATCAGGATGATTCAGTTGTCTCTATATACAGTCTATGTTGTGCACCTTGTTATTATAATGTACAAGGTCTGAACACATTTGAGGACACTTGATGTATACCGCCATTCATTCTCATGTTATGTTGCCTTATGCTGACTTTATTCCCTCAGGTATTATGTATGTGAATCAGACACAAGTAATGCCAGGTGAATATTTCCATCCTCATGTTTGAATGCTGGTCAGAGAGAGGACTAAAAAGTATGTTGCTTTATAAGATAATATATTTTTTCGCTGAAACATGCACCTAAATTTTGCTGATAAGAGTTTGGTCTTAAAAAATAAGATGTCCCTAGTGGTCACAAATTCCTTTAAGCGGCTTTAATGGTTTCATTCACATTTTCTCCTGGCTTCTCAGTCAACACTTGACTTCACCCTATCCTATTGAGCAATTCCCTCTGGCTCACTCCCTGCAGAGTGAAAACATATTTTTTTCCATGGGAGGTATTTGTCAAGGGCCTTATTTTGCAATTGTTCAAGGTGGGAGGGAAAAGCTTTCCAAAGCTCTGTGTGTGTTATTGTTACAGTATAGTACATTCATTCCATGAATGTGTAACATCCCGCACTCACCCCTCCTCTCTTTCCCTACTGTGTAAGATTGTCCCAGTGAGTCAGTCAGTTCACTGTGCTGACAAAGATCCACATCCAGAGTTACAACCTATAGAACAGGTCTGCTTTTCTAGCATAACACAGACCAAGCATCCAGAAATAACATTGTGAGAATACTGTGCGCTTGGTTTTCTGTATTATGCAAAAACGGCCAACCTTTGTCAATGGGTAAGTCCTTAATGGATGCATAATGTCTTCGATGAACCTGCCCCTCTGCGTGATTTATGTCTGTGGTGCCAGTATGGCAGGAGTCTGTGTTAAACAAAACCCATGTGCAGGGCTGGGGCCCCCTGGGCTGGATTCCCAGGCGGCTAGCGTCACAGTGCTCTGGATCTCAGACTGACACTTTGGGAAGGTTACCCCACAGCTAATCCTGTCTAATCCCTTCCATGGTCACAGGCTCAGCCAGCCAGCCAGACCATGCTGCTTCGCCCATCTCCCCCTGCCATATCCTCTGTCTCCAGTCTCGCCCCCATGATCACAGCCTGCCCAGGCCTTCCAACCGAGCTCATCCCTTTTTCCAATTGTCTATCACTGATACCAAGACTGGAAATTTCCCTTCGCTGTGTCTCTCACTCTCCTCACCTCTATGACCTGAACTAACCTGCATCACCACCAGTCGGCAATTACTCAGCATCTTCTTCCCTTTCTCTTCCCTTCCCCCCATTATGGCGAATACTCATCATCTCCACCAAGGAGCTGATGTTTTCGCTCCTGTCTGTTGGTTTAGTTGTTTGCAGGATACATGGACAGGATGATGCCAAAACTACTTAGTGGATTTCCACAGAAAACTTGATGACGTGTCCAAGAAAGAACCCACTCAAATTTGGAGTGGATGCAGATAGGGGGGGCAGATCCTGGAACTTTCTTTAACAGAGATGTGGGCATTTTTTGACATTTTCACCAATTCCAGAGGGTATAATATACAGAATCAAGTCAGGCATTATTAGGGGACTCACATCTATGAATGTGTGTCATTTTGGTGCTGCTTGACTCGATTTTAAGGGACTACTACTCAGAAAATGTATTGGCACACTTCAATCTAAAAAGTCAAAATATGGTAAAAAGGAAAAGATAAAATGATTGAAACACAATTTACAATACCTCATTCTTTCATTATTGCTTCATCACAAGCTCAAACATTCATCACCCGACTGCACTGCAACACCAAAGTCACATTCATCAGACAGTGAAGGAGGCTCCATTGTATATGCCTCACTCACCACCCTTAATGGGAGAAGGCTCACTAAAGATGGGAACCACAGGCAACAGGTGAGAAGCTCCTCTTCATCCATCTTACTCCTCTTTACTCATCCCAGCAGACCACCCTGTCTTCTATCCTGCTCTCTATCCATCCTTACATTCTCTGTAGTGATTACAAAGATTGGTGGCTAGAGACAACCAGAAGCTGCCTGTTTGTCCTCCTCACTTATCCTGTCGGACTGATTTAAATCAGCTCCCTCTGCTCCAGCCAAGACACTTGACTGTCTGCCTTCATCTTCCTCACCACCTCGCTTTCCTCAATTCAAACCTTTCGCCAGCCTCCACTCTCCCTCGGCACCGGTGATGAGGCAGCCGGCAAACTTTAAGAACAAAAACCAATCACTTCTCATCAATTGTTGATCACAGAGCAACTACTGTGACTGCTCAATGACATGCATTCATTTCACATCACGCTTCAACGGTGGGAGATCTGCACCAAGAACTGAACGACCTATAAAGAAAGTTTCATGTGTGGCCTGATCTTGAACTTAAGATTTGATCATTCTGACGAGAAGCAGGCTAATTTAATCTTTTGTTGAAGCTGGATATTTTACAGATACATGTAGTTCTGCCTTTGAATTAGTCAGCTGCTGATAATGAGAGGATGGTGTATAGCAGCCGTGCAGGTCTGGGTCCTCTGTGTGTTAAGATTAACCATTTAGAGAGACCGGCTGCTCAGCTGTCCTTCCTCGCATGCCACGGCATTAGAAATGGTGACACCTCAGTCCTGTGTGCTGGCCTCCCTCCCTCTCTCGTTCTTCGGTCTGCTTCTCCACTCCCCGTCGCCTCTTTGATGAAGGGATTGAGTTTCATGTGTTCTCCTTTTATCCCCGGGCAGTCATAAGCCCAGAGCATAACTCATAAGCTGCCTTCTGATTCTAATCTGCAGCACTTTGCTTCTCACAATGGGACACACAGGCAACAATGACATCAGCCTTGTAGCTGCTCTATAAGGGTTTGGACAAACACACACGCTTACAGGGAAAGAACATGAAGACAGCAGGTGTTGGCTTTAGGAGGACAAACAAAGATTAAGAATTTCATAGTCAGTAAATGCTGCTACCAGATACTCCAACCTCTGCCAAGGGAGTGAAAAGTGTCAGAAAACACACAACATTCATCCTAAAGTGGGCTGCGATGAGGCAAATTGTAACTACATCCTTTTCCGTCTCTGAAACAAACCTCATCCATCTTACTTCACAAGTGCACAGTGTAGCTACTTGGTCACAACTCACAAACCAAAAAGCCAATTTCAGAGGTAAACTAAGAAAAGGTCTAGGTTTCTGAGTCCTGACAGGCGTTCTAGATGTGAGCGTGTCAGCCAGAATGGGGTGAGATGAGAAACTGCTCTCCAAAGTGGAGTAAACTAGCAAGGTAAATGGGATCAGGTCGCCCTGACTGCTCCACAATGAACGAGTATGGACCAAAGTGGCGGTAAATGTAAATGCAAAGCAGACTCAGGTAGCAGGAACACTTAATCAGCTGTCCAAAAATCCAGCAAACTGTCAGCCTCTTAACCACTGGCTGGTAGGGAAGCTGATTGGAAGGGACAGACAGATGGAGAAAAGGAAGGAGGCGGAGGAGAGGAGAATAAATAGAGAAGGACAAGAAGATGAGGAGGAGAGGAAAATGGAAAGGAACAAACGGGAAGAGGAGGGAAATAGGAGCAAGATGGAGAGCTGGAGAGGGAAAGGGGAAAGAGGTCATGAGAGAGGAGGATGGTGTGCACTGAAACAGCTGTGGGGTTAAGGCGTGTGTGTGTGTGGGCGTGTGTGTGTGTGTGTACAGCCTTTTCAGCAGTTTGAATGAGCTCATGTGATGTAGCCTTGCATTATATTCATATATAAGCTCCTTGGCATGCTTGATAAAACACCCACACACTTAATTCTTGACCTAATCACGTTCCTTCATTAATCCACCTGCTCAAGGGGGCGGAGGCTACTGAGTAGTGCTTGTTAACTGGTAAATGGTCTGTATTTATACAGAGTGGCAGTTTTCTATGAGGGGCAATTCAGGTTCAGTATCTTGCCCAAGGACACTTCGGCATGCAGATGGGGAAGACTCGGATCGAACTGCCAACCTTCTGGTTAGAGGACGACCGCTCTTACCCCTCAGCTATAGCCGACCATGCAAGCATAAACTAGAAGAACAGTCTGAGAGCGGATACCTCCGCCATGGCTAACGGCCTATGACACCCCCTTTACAAAATTTCCTGGAAATTCGTTTTTCAGTAATCCTGCTGACAGATAGACAAACATTTGTGGATGAAAACACAACTTCCTTGGTTGAGTTCATGTAATCAACCACTTTGACTGTATCAAGACACAACTGAAATATCACTTCAAGTATTGAACACATTGTCATAAAGGTTCATTAAGACATCTATGGTTCCAAGAGGATTATTCCTACTGACTTTGATGACTCAGAGTTTTTATCCAGGTAATAATTTCACTTATCCTGAGAAATATCTCAAAATCATTGTGAGAAAGACTTTCTTCTCAAAAACCAACTGCTTGAATTGGTAACATTTTTTGTGCAGACATACATGTTTCCCAGATTTCCAGGAATTTTGTAAAAACACCCATGGGATGGAACAAACTTGGTGGTTCCCTAATTTTTTCTCTGGCGCCATCATCATGTAAAAATTATTATTTTTTTTGTTTCTTTGTCTTTGAAAAAAATAATCAAATTCCCATTAGCCTCATGGGTACATCTGTACACTATGTGAATAGCCTAAACCTTGAAGGTGAACATGGTCAACCTGCTAAATATCAGCATGTTTGCAAAGTCACTGTGAGAACTTTACAACCGCGGTGCTTGATTAAGCTCAAAGCCCCGCTGTGACTCATGGAGGCACATGCCCCGTGCACACTTAACTTAAACACATTCATGGCCAGGAGCTGTGCTGTAAAACCACAGTCTAATCTGTTTGTCACTGAGCAGCTCCACTAGAGCGGTGGGGGGTTAACACGCTTCCTTAAGGGCAACAGATTAATGAGAGGAAAGTACTGTTATTTTTCTTGTTTGCATCCTGCAGCTATGGAGATCAAAATGGTGACTGGATCCATTTGCAAGCCTGTTCCAGTAAACTCTATCTCTCTGTCTATCTAATAAGGCTTCTCGATAGCAATGCAAATATAAATCTTGTTATGAAACCTTGAAATCATGTATTATAGATATATAACTTAATTAATGTCTCGCTTAATTGGTATTTGTCATTTACAGGAAACTTGTAGGAGGGATGTTTAGTCACATTTTTATTATACTGGACTGAGTGTTTCCCCGCAAATGTCTGTTGTATGGAGGAGCTTCATTAATAACTGAGATAAAAGAGTGTTTAGCTGTGACAAAGGTTCATGTTATTAATTTGCGGATGGATCATTAAAATCATTCCTTCCTTCGCAATCTTTACTGCCAGATTCAACTGTGTCATCAGCTGCTGATTTTGAATCTTTTCTACATTACACAATTCCTCAATCAATCAAATAATCCTACATAATGAATCACAAATGGGGATGTCAATACGTGAAGCATCAACAAGCAAGAAACTCTACCAAGGCGTGCACATCTACACAAGAGGACAGATATCAGCCCCATGTCCAAACAGGCCTGAGTCACAGGTGCACTCACCGTGAAGACATGCCAAAAAAAACACACAAAGCAACAACGTCCCTCCTTCAACACACAAGTCGTCTTCATATCCAACAACTACACACAACTCTGCCTGAGTACGTTCAGATGCTTGACAAAGAGAAAACAAGTAATCACAAAAGGTTTGTTGCTAATTTCAATTTTCATGTCATTTCGTTATTCACGTACACTCACTGGAGTCATTTCGATAAAGTTTAAGTGGTGCTCAGATTCAGACTGAAACACGGGAGGAGAGAGGATGAGGGAACATGAGAGGATAAGACACAGGATGAGGGTACGTGATGAGAGGCGAGAGGGCGGCTGCCTCTGGGCAGGATTGGGAGGGAGCGGTTGGAAAGACATTGAAGATGAGGGCCCTCTCTTTATAATCAAAGGCTGGATCAAAGTGCTGGCTGACGTCTACCCCCCCGCACATTTATTCTCTTTCTCTCTCTCAGACAAGAAGATGAAACAACACACACTACAAAGGCTAAACTACGACAAAACTGTGCCTCATCGGCTTGTGTACGACTGTGTGTGTGTGTGCATGTGTGTGAGACATCAATCAACAATCCTGAGGGAACTGGTGTGAAAAGGCAAGACAGATATCCAGTGTGGTCACATGTGTGCCCTGGTTCACCCGCATAGACAGAGCTGGATTCTGCTACACATTATCCTGACTGCTATACTTTATAATAAAAGCTTTTTGAAAGTTAAAAGGTAAAATTCAGATGAAAGTTCAGATGCTTTTTTAAAAGGTCAAGGGTGATAAATACAAACACACATTTGATGGGACATTTAAAATAAATGAAACAGAACAAATTGTATGACCTACACTGACACCTGGAGGTGGACTAGAGTATCACATGCCTGGAGTGCGGGCTGCTCTATTTAAAAATATTACACCACCTCTGGTTGTTGACAGAATTGTTTTTTCCTGCGGGTGTAAACTTTAAACATGGCAGTAATGTGAGTCTGGTGTGATCCGATTAAATATATATTTATACATGTGTGTATATATGAATCCATAAATTCCACTAAGAGCAGCATGTCCAGAATCAGGAGGTGAATTGATCAATCTCAGTTCTATAAGATCCTGATAATCACCAGATGTCTGTGGAGATGCACATGTGTGATTTTCAAACACACGTCGGTTTCAGAAGCTAGAATGACTGAAAATGTTGTCAACATTATTCCAGAAAAATAATTTTAGTTGATATTTTATACTGATTATCAATTTACAGCCAGATTTAAAATCTTAACAGCAAGTCAGGCCACACTTGTGCATGTTTACAACTCAACATCACATTGCAAAGGGATCAATAGGTTTGACAGACCCACAGACTCTATGTGACATTAGTAATGAATGGCTGACCTTTGGCACGTGTGGATTGAACTCAACAGCTCTGTGTATGGCCTCCACAGCGTTCATCTCTGCTGTGCTCAGTCCCCGCCTGGACGCTGCCTCTGGAGAGAACCTGTGGCAACACACATCAAATCAGTTTTCTTCTACTGTCACTTTAGCCAAAGACATCACATCAAATGTGAGGAGATACAGATTCTTGATTGTATAAAACAGATATTTTAAAACATCATGAATCAAAAGGAAGCGTACTTATCAGACACAGCCCGTGCTTTCAACAGTGCAGATGTGTAACATATAGTGGCTGATTTTGGCAAGCTGATGTCTGCAATGGCAGAATAAATTAGGGTCATGCGACATAAGCCATTCAGTACATTTTCAGGGCAAATTTAATGACAGTAAGTTGTGTCATTAATTTGAGAGACAAAAACAAACCACACATTCACTTGGTTCGGTCTTACCATCATATTTAGCGAGGACTGCTTGGACATCAGCGTATGCCTGAAGCTCTAGTAGCGCCTCCAAGAGGTTTTCGTGAATATTTAACATTCCCAACAGTGGGAACTCCTTCATTAACTGTACAGAGATAAAACATGGATTGACATGAAATGTGTTTGTATGCCCGCACTGCCATTGTTACATATACAGTAGATACAGCAGTAAACACTATAAAGTCTGAAAGACTATTTCAAACTCACATCTCTCATCATTTTCACTGCTTCTTTAATCCGCCCCAGTTTACGTGCACACATTGCCAGTCTGCGTTTAATGTACACCAGTAAGTTGATATCTTTTCCAGCTGTGGATAGAAAATATGAGACACCTAAGGCACAACACACTGTTCAGGTTACAGATTTTAAAACATGAGAAACACTGATCAAATTAAACATAGGCCTCAGGCGTTTTACTGCAGGTGGGTGTGTTCTATCTATAACCACACTTACCTGTGTTGTAACATAGCAACTCACAGGTGTGACATGCACTTAGTTTCTCTCAGCTTCATTCTAAAGCTAGTTGTACTTGTTGTAAAGAGTCAAATCCATACTTACCAATACTTAATGCTTTTTTAAAGAGGCGCTCGGCTTCTGTGATAGTTGTGGCTTCCTCCTCTGCTAGCAGCACGTAGGCAGCAGCACATCTGTACAAACAAATTCAAATACAAGACACAAGGGGACAGATTAGATGTCAACAGATTAATGGACATTAAAAGCTTACCACAATAAAGGCAATAATGTGAGTATGAAAACACCATTGACGAAGCCACTAAATAATCATGTTAATGTATTAATGCTCATGTGAAGCAGGCTTACAGAAACACGTGAGTGAGTTTTAACTGCGTCACAACAGCAGATACTATTTAAAGAGATTTAGTATTATATTTGTAGATACAGTGTAACTGCGTAAGAGATGGGACTCACTCGTGGTTCATCTCTATGGCCTGGTAAGCTGCTCGGATCCTGGCTTGAGGATTTCTCTCTCTCCAGGCTTTCTGCATTACTGCAACGAGAGGATGAACTCAGGTTTATTATGGACGTGACCCTACGCTCATTACAATAACACAACCTGTGTGCATCCAAGAAATATACCACCACTCTTATTTCGTAAATATAACATCTCTCATTTTATTTTTATTTTTTAGCAAAAGCCGATTTGATTCTATATTTTAATGTTTCAAACTCACCGGCATCTTCCGGCCGTAGCTGCTGAGTGTCTCCTGTGAAGAAGGTCTGATGGTCTTGAGCAGACAGGTTCATATCATAGTAGGTTAAGGGTTCCTTCCCTGTTACCCAGGTGTACCTACAATGCACACAGCAACGTACAGAAATGTTGTGCTTCAGTTTTGTTATCCACAGTAAATCAATTTAAACTGAACTAATTTTCTTGCGTCCAATGCACAAAATGCACCTTTATAAATTATTTGACTTGATACTTGACTTGAGCTAAATCATGTCTCTAAAATCCACATACCTGTTGTATTCTGCTCCTCTGAACAGATTCAGAGGGTTCCTCCAAACCTTACACTCTAGCAAAGGGAAGATATTGTTATGAGTGCAGATAGTATTATGAGTAGTATTGCTGTTATGGTTTGTATTAAATTAACATTTACCAGAAACACTGGGCCTCGGCTCTGCTTCTCCATTAACTGATGAGAACAGACCGGTCGTGGAGCTGCTCTCCACCCCCCCCAGGAGAGGACGCAGGTGGCTCACGGACACTTGTTCAATGAACGAGGTCCCGTATTTACGAAAATACCACCACTCAAATATCTGTGGCGAGAACACACATGGCGGAAGGTTAACGAAAAGACAACAATAACTTTTAGAGGCAACTGCTGATATTTTTTTCTGTCCTTGGGTGAACTACTAGCTGCTCTAAAACTACACATCATCCACATGTTAATAGACGAGCAGTGACCACCATTTTTGTGCCACAGCAACAGTCTAGGACCCATTTTTGTAGTCATGCCTCTTGTTGGACATCCATCCCCAAAACCAAGCTAGTAATGTGGATTGTACCTGCACCGTAGCTCAGGGAGGAAACACTGTCCCTCAACAAAGACTGGGGCACACTGACTAGAAACTAAAGCTGGGCGGTATGGCCCAAATTATACATGACAAAAAAATGTTCATATCAGTCAATATTGAAAATCATCATGAGAACGGATTATTTTTTTAATCTCTTGACAATACTGAAAACACAGTAACTTTGGAAAATGTTCACTTGAGCAACTCATTTTGGATAATGCCTTGGGTACAGTGCACAATGGTATAACACATAATCGATTGACCTCACATTTGTAAAATGTTTATCAGTATCTGCTCAAAAAGAAGAGTTTGAAAACCACAACCTTCACTCAGGAGCATTTATCGTGATTATTACCGATATCGAGGGACAGTGGTTTATCTTCATGCAGTTTTTGGCCGTGTCATCCAGAATATAATGAATAAGGCACTTGTCCTCAAAATGGCCTAAAACAAACCAAATTTGGCAAAAAGTAGAAGATCATATTTGTATGTGACAGGAGGAGAAAAACCATAACTCACCAGGATGAGTCCAGAGATGAGGGAGGAGGTTCCAGTGAGAGCCACGTAGAACTTGGGGGTGAGAGTGTTTAGAAACACTGAAGCTGGAGGACAGAGAGGAGAGGGACAGGTTAGAGTCCTCACACCACAGGACACCGATCAAATCAACGGACAGCAGGAGACATGAAACACCAGAGCATCTCTGGTGACGAGTCACAAACAAAACACCGACTCTTGGCTGTAAAATGAACTCGGCGCGGTTGTAAACACGTTCACCCAGTGTCTGTTAAAGCTCATGAAGACATGTGACTCTCTTCTAACCCGCAGCTCTCCCGTGTTCCCCCCTGACTCCCTCTGACAACGAGCTGTCAGAGCTGCACCAGCTCCGGTTCACTGGCTGCTGCAGCCTCCCGGAGGCTAACGGCAGCTAGCATCGGCTAGCTAGCAGCAGCAGTCGTGTACCTGAGGTGAGAGTCTCCTGCAGTTTGAGCGGACTCCACAGGACGTAAACCATGATGAGCACCATGCCGAGCCAGATGAAGCACACGTAGGTCCACGACCAGGAGAGCCACGACTTGAACTTCTCAGTCAGCCCCACAGACTGAGGATTACTGCCAGCACTGTCCTCCATGATTCTCCGGATGTCTGTAAACACACGAGTCACGTGACCGCGCACAGCCGAGGACCTCTATTCTGAAACCGCCGCGAAGAAGAGAATCCATTTCCGGAGGGCACAGAATTTAAAAGAGATGATTTTAATATTAGAACTTCAGTCACACAGGATGTGGACATTTGAATGTGCACGTGTCACTGTGGATCAAAGATCTAAGCAGCATTGATAAACATTCTTATTTAGACTAATCTAATTCCACGGTCATTTTTATTTTACTTTAATATTTTTGATTGACTCATTCAAATATTATTCTTTACACATTTTATCTTTCTCATCACTACTTCCACGTTTTGAAAAATTTTATGTAATCAAAATACAAAACACCACAATGGATATATTTCACTTTAGCAGTAGCTCAGTCCATAAAGATTTGACTTGGGAACCAGAGGGTGGCCAGTTCAAGTCCAGCCTGGACCATAAGTATGGAAGGTGGACTGGTAGCTGGAGAGGTGTCAGTTCACCTCCTGGGCTGCTGTTTACTGCTGAGGTGCCCTTGAGCAAGGCACCGTAGCCCCCCATTGCTCATAGGGTGCTTTTCCTGGGGCTGCCCATCACTCTACCACCTCTCTCTCCAAAATGTGCATGTCTTTGAGCCCTCTGTGTGTGTGTGGGTTTGTGGGTTAATGCATGTATGAAAATGAAAACATGAGTGTAAAAAGAATTTCAATAAAAGGAAGTTTAAGTTTAAGTTATATTTAACAGCAAAGGTCATAACTACTTTGAAAAACCTAGTTTCTGAAAACAGGGTCAGCTCGTGCATATTTGTGCATCAAAACTAAGTAGTAAACATATAAACTCCACTTCTAGCACGTACAATAACAAAATGTGTCTTGTATTCTGAATTGCAGAAGCAGTACTTTTACTTTGAATTTTGAAAACTTTTTTTGCTGTTACTTCAATACATGCTTTAAAAAAAATGATATCAGGAGTTGAATTTCATCATTTATCAATATTTAAGAAGTGAGTATTTCTCCCTCCATTTCACTTCTCTATTAGGGGTCCAGCAAATAATCTTTTATGACCATGACCTTTTATGACATGATCAGTCAAGTCATATTTTACTTTGTAGAATCTTTAAAATGTAAAAATGTGTATTACAGTTTCCCCCAGCTTTCAGAGGAGATGTCTCCAGATGGATTATTCTCACCCTTCTGTTGACATTCATCATCTCAGTCATAAACGTGAAACATCAGCCAGAATCATTCATCAGACCCTGAATCTGCCTATTGCTGCATGTAGTACTTGTCATGGCCATTAGGTGGGGCCATTACAACACAAGGCCATTCTCCTGTTATGCCATTTACTGACTGCAGGTGGAGACAACGTTCAGTTTAGTTTACTTCCTCATAACCTCTGAATTCATTTTAAAATACTCGAAATAAATATTTTCAGGTTTTGCAAAAGTACAATTGTTACAGTTAATACCTTTAAATACAAACTGATGACTGAACAACTTGTTCAGGACTTATTCAACACAGAGTTTGATTCAACTCTTTGGCTTTGTTCAAACTGCCAATCATTGTCCAGTCACAGTTTTCTATCCCCATGACTCACAAACCCTGAGATGCATGTAATGTGTCAAACAAGTCATTCAGACTGTTGCAAGATGAGGAACAAGTATAGTTTTGGATGCATACTAGCAGTTGCACTCCTCACCTTGAGTGACGGACTCACATCTAGCAGTGCAGGAATAAATGTGATTTGTTGGAGTATTTTCTTCTTGGAGGTTACAGCCACTGCATGACAGAGAGCCAGATTTGGTCCTGCTCACACATGCCCTTGGGTGTTTTCTGCCTGATGCTGTTGGACAAGCACACGCAGGGTTAAAGGCCTGTCATATAAATCAGGTACAATCACTTTAGAGGTGAAAACATGCATGATGCCTCTGACAGGGAGGAAGAGTCGGGGGGGAGAATAAAAGAAGAGGGGGAGAGGACAGGTCTGTAGAAGTTATCCGCAGTGTACAGCACGACCTGCTTGTCTGAAAGTGTTTGCAGCTGAAATGATATTTTCAAATGACCTCTGCTCAGTGACTCATCCTTTGATAAAACATACATGTGCCCTCCAAGAATATACAGAGATAAGAACGTTATCGTCCCTGGTATTTACACTGCACCACTTTCCCTGCTTGAACATCAACAGCAGCAAAATGAAATATAGTTTGTATCTACATGAAGACACAAGGACATCTGCAGGATTTCTGCATGCATCACAATCAAAGATAATATTTTATTCAGGGACAAGAGTTAGATTTGATATTGCAAATACAAAACACAACGCTGATCTGAGAATCAAAAACAATGGACGGAACCTGTGCTCGAAGTGCGACGTGACCTGTGCACACGCGGTCAGCCGGCGTCCAGCCATGCAGAAGCAACATCGCTCATCATTCCGCAGTCACCTGTATACTTAAGGTTCATTTACAATTTCACGTCTGGTATCCATCCAGCCATTCTGGACTTCATGTTCTGTTTATGTAGTTTCTTTCTTTTTCTCTGCCCAAAGCTTTTAAGAGTCCTCTAATCATACATAATTAATCAGGGTTTTCACTTAAATGCACTGCATTTCTCACTCTCATTATTACTTAAGAGGCTGCGCTTTAAGGACTGAAAATACCCGGCGCCCTGTTGATGGCATTGTTCACAAAGCCAGCTGTTTAAACAAATGAGGATTTACAAGACAAAAACAATAGAAATACAAAATCTTGTATCAACACTCAAGAAGATTTCTGGCCAACGACACAATTGTATTACTTGACGTTAACATTTTAATTGTGTCTTCTTGATATGAGTGAAACATTTCAGTCTGATCTGAGCACAGATTTGGTGATAATGTTAATTTAATGAGTAAAACATTGAACATGTACAGTGTACTCTTTGACTGGTTGTGGTTTTTTTTAGCTCTTCATTCGGTGGTCCGAGCCCTGATGGAAAACTTTAAACATGATGAAACTGGTTCTCGTCTCCCACACTGCCTTCTCTGAGTGAGTTTATATTACTTGTCTCCATGAAGGGCCTCTCCCTCCACAACTCATTTCTCTCAAAACACTTCATTTTCAGAAAATGCTTGTTCTGTTTCTTTTTTCTTCTTTACTTCAGGAGACCGTACCGTTTGACCACATATGAAAGCAACATTATCGCAGAAGATATGACTTCCTCTGCACTGGCAGACTCAGAGAAGCAACATTTCAAACCTTTTTATCAGTAAATGGACTAATGGACATGTTCTGCTGTTGTTTCCATAATGACTCACAACACGCCATGCTAGAAGGGAAGCAAGGGAATATAAATGTCATGCAACACTTTACATTCACCTGTTTATAAACGTGTTTTCTTGTAGCCTAACATTTCTTAAACAATTCTATATCGCTGCCATTACAATGTTATTAATTCAGTGCAAAGGAATATAGTGTGATCCTCTAGAATGCTAAATAAAATCCAACAAACACAAATCATCACTGTCGCTCTGCAGCACAAACATGGATATAAAAAACACAAAGCATAACCAGCATAAGAGACGCAGCTTCTCAGCCTGTGTGTACACTGGCTCTTTCATTGTACACAACTCCAGCCAACTGTAAGTATAAATGGAAGAGGCAGAGATGAATAATACATATGAATTACCTACATGCAGTCAGGATCTTTTTTCTCTCTCTCTCTCTCTACTCACCCTCTGCTGCAGGGACATCGCTTTTAGTAACAATAAAAATAAAAGGCAACGTGCACAGACAAAAACCACAGGTATTGTGAGTGAACGGCAGAGTGTCAATAGGTGTCACAGTGCTTTTACAACGGTGTTAAATAATGTGTAACTGCAAAACAAGGAGAGTGAGGAAAGTCTTTGTGCAGTAACATTGAGAGCAGATGGAGACCCCCCCCCCCCCTTTTTTAATGGTAATATTGTGTTTGTACTGTGCGCGTCTGACGTCACTACAAGTTGAAGCTCTTTGTGCACAATCTGTCTTTTCTTTATTGAAGGTGTTATTATCAGAACTCAGCAGGATATTATTGCACATGTCAGTGTGGAGGAAGCAGATATATGAGTCTGTAATGAAGAAGAATAGAGTATGATGAAGATACACATTTTTATTTTGGATTTACTCAACAGTAGATTGCAGATTTTCTGAGGTCCAGTTGTCCGTCACAACAAAAATTTAAAACTTGACTTACATGTATGAGAAGGGATAAAAATACCAGATCAGGCTTTTATAAGTGTTTCAAACTGAACTTTTAAAACTCAACATGATCTCTTGAGTCACCTGTGAAATCCTGCTGTGATCTCTTATGTACACTTTGATTACTGGTTGTAATTTGGTCGTTCTTATTCACTCTGTGTTTGCTGAGCTTGAATCGTCCTCAGCAATCACAGTTAAAAGCTCAAAGAAGCAGCACAGAGCTTCCTCATGGAGGATTCATCCCACAGTGAACGTCTGAGCACAGTTTCACAGCGATCCGCTGCACAGTCGGTGAGACATTAAAATGGTGGACGGGCTGATCGATAGGCGTCGCCATGGTTACTTGCAATAACAACATTATTCACTGACTCACAAACCTAAATTTAAACCCATCAGCATCTCACTGAAAGTAGACAAGTCCTCCCAGCTCATTCACACACGACTCCACTCGGGTCTCTGTGGTTTGAGTCTACCATCACATTCAAAGGGCTGCTGTTGAGAATCATGTGACCTTTATGCGACGCTTTCAGAGATGACTCATAGCTAATTTCAGACGGCTTTGTGTTTTAGATTGTCCTTGAAGTACACAATTATAAAACATGAAACAGATTGACTCAAACAAAAGACTGAGATGCCGGCACGTGTCACGCTGAATGGCGTCTGACTGCTCCAGAGGCTCCAATACATTTTTGTGTAACCCTGACGACACCATATGTAGAATTTGAAATCAGATTATTTTGGTGGGCGTGCTCTGTCTTTACTGGCAGTAATTTGAGACAGATGTAGAAGGACTTACCGACTAACCGCCCCCACCCCCACTCTTTGTGGCACATACACAAAGACGT